TTTTTACAAAAATTGATTCATTCAGTGTGTATTGTTGAGATTAGCTGTGATTGGGCACAGGTCATGGTACAGATAGGCTGTGATTTGCCTTGTCTGTACCATGTGATCAGTCACAGCTAGAAACACAATTGTACACAATGAATGGCATGAATCGAAGCCATTAATTGTTTACAATTGTCATGTGATCTGCTGTGATTGGTGGACACAGGTGACAGATCATGCCTGCAGCATGGCCGCACCACGGTGCCCAAGGTGCATTCAGAGAGGACATCATATGATATCCTCCCGGTATGAATAAAGTCCCGCCCAGCCTTTATTTTAAATTGGCCAGGCAGTGGTTCATTTTATTTATTTTAAACGCTTGTGACAACCGTAAAAAAAAAAAAATTGTTTTGTGGGGTACATTAGATCTTGCTTCTAATTTAGATACTTGAAAACTTGTAACCCATGTTATATGTGGTATTGCTTTTAGGGACCTGTTTATTATTTATAAAAATGCCAAATCAGTGTTTTTTGCCTTTTTTTTTAAACAAATTACAATTCTTACATTTTTGGTAGTAAATGTGCTCTGAGCAGCTCCACGGTTTCTTTGACATATTTAATAATAATTTGTAGATTGATTTGACTGGTTCAAACCATTGTGATCATGAAGAAACTTGAAGTGCCGCTTTAAGCTGAGGCTGGAATATCTCCCTGCTGGTACTCAGAAGATGGGAACAAGCGTGAGGTTCACGTAACCGTTTTACATGAAACACCACTCAAACCAGCCCAGGTCTAAGAAGATGTGTAGCCTCAGCCAGTTCTGCTCCAGCAATGCCCTCTGATGCATTTTGCCCCACCTCTGTGACCAAGCCCTGGTGGGCAGGGCGAAACGTGTAAGAGGGATGGCTGGAGCAGCACTGGCTGAGGCCACACATCTTGTTAGCACTGGGTCAGTCTGAGCGGCATTTCATGCAAAGCATTTCAAACCCTTTTCACAAAACGCTTACTTGCTAATATTGGGCACCATTCCCGGCTCTATGAATGAAGGGGGAGGACCTTTTTATTCATCTGCTCGTCTTCCATAGAGCCCTCTCCATTGGTAGGAACTATAGTACAGCTTCTATGAATGGAGGGGGGGGGGGCAGAAAAGGTGGGCATAGTTGGTACTCTTGATGACTGCTATATTACCGCCCGCAGCACTGGAAGATTACCATTGTGAGGTAGTCGGGAAGAGGTGGGGGGGTATTAAAGTATGGAAGATTTCAACTACCAGCATAAGGGACACCTTTGTTAAATGTAAATACTGTCCCTTGTCCTGATTTAAAGAAGAAAAAAAACAGTCTTTGTTACTATTTAAGCATTTAAGAATCTCATAACTGGGACTTTGGTGGATTTTCTGAAGTTTATCTCCTGTTCTTGTGTATTTATTCAATTTATATTGAACCATGAACTCAATCTGCTACTTAAGTTCCATCCTAACTGTGTACACAGATGAAGAGAGAATTCTGTAGTATTGATAGCTCCTTGTGTGCATGTCCTTGTTATGGGGCATGCATGTTGGGGGATAGGAGGGGGAGAGAACTTCTCAGTCTGGAGATATCTGTATACTCTCTGCATCTGTACAATGACTCTTGCCTTATGTTAGCTGTTGTATGTTCTTCAGAGCAGGAAATATGCTGTGCTGCTAGCTTGAGCTGTTTTTTCTGTGCCCTTAAATAGTGAGTGGATGTTGTTGGACGTACTCCTCCATTATTGATACTTGTCCCTCATCTATTCAGTTTGCAGACTAAGCATTTAGTCACACAGCACTAATGCTGCATGTTCAGCACTCGTGCAGTGATTGCAAACTCCATTTACTGGCTGGATTTACTCATGGAACAAAATAGGTAAACGTTGGTTTAGAATATGCTAAGATATGGATCTGGTTCCCATTAGTAACAGATGTTTAGATTCACAGTAACTATAGTAATAAAAAACAGCTAAATTTAGATGCTGAGGTCTGTCGTTTTTGCAAACGTTTGTATTTAGCTCCATGATCCCCTCCCTCCTAGATTGTAAGCTCCAAGGAGCAGGGCCCTCCTAACCCTCTTGTATTGAACTGTATTGTTGCTGTATTTTCTCCCTTGATATTGTAAAGCTCTGAGCAAACTGTTGGTGCTATATAAATCCTGTATATTAATAATGACAAACATCATAATGGTAAAGGTACAGTATATTGGATTCTTCTTGCTTTTTATCTTTTGATGTTGATGTTTTCTGTGGTTTTCTATTAGCATACACAATTTTTTAATAGTACGGTTCTCTATTTGACTGAAGAGTTGGGCAATGAAGCAGTATACTCATTCCAAGGAAACTTTCATTGATTACTCATCTCTGTAGATCTGAATAGTATGAGAAGATTTAAAGGATCATTCATGTGATGCATGTTACCTACTAGATCTCTAAAATGTAAAGCCTAAGTGTCGTCAAAATAAAAAAAAAACCATTCAAGCGACATGACTTGTTATGTCCATTGTGTTTCTTGCTCCTGGTTTTCTTGAAACTCTCCTTCATTGATGCCCACCACTGCTATAAGTTTCCGATGTGGCAGGGGTTAAAAGCTGTGGGAGCTTTAATAAGCACTGATCAAGAGTTCCTGAATATGCCTACCCTTTCCTCCCAGCTCCACCATTCCTAGAAGCTAGTTCTACAGCACATCTATGAATGAAGCACGCTGTTTGAACGGAGAGGGTGGAGCTTTCAATTCTCATCAGGCTTCATTTACATTAAGTAAAATTTCCTGGTAGCTGGAAAATGCTAAACGCTGCAAAAATTTGTGTAAACTCTCTACCTCATTTACCTTTGTTTAGCCACGTTTGTTGCTTGGACGTTTATACATTTTGGTTGTCCAGAGTAATTTCTATTGACATGAATAAACACCCAAGCACTAAACACGGCTAGCGTTTCTGCGCGTTTACAAGTGTTTGCTGTGTTTTTTTGGCCAAATGTTCTTTTCCTGAATGCGAATCTTATGCATTCAGGAGAGGGACGTTTAACTAACCCCTAAATGCTGCTGCTAAACTCTGATAAAAGCCTGTATGTGCATGAGCACACAGGCTTTTGAGTTGAGTTCAGAGGCTTTGGCAAAAAACGCCAAAAAGCCTAAACTCCCGTTTAGGAGCAGCATTGTACATGAGGCCTCATCATGACATGAGCATGTCACTATTCCCTTTAGCAAACTATAAAGAAGTTTATTTGACTGGCATAGGCAGAAAAAAACAATTGCAGAACCCAGAACACACTGTTGCTGGAGCACCAAGGGTCACTATAAAAAAAAAAAATACAGAATATGTAGTATTCTTGCTTTAATGCTTGTTCTCAAAGATAAACGCACAAAACCATATGTTTAATGGGCTTTTGTGGGCTTTGTGCACAACTACATCATCAAGCATCTATGGTTTTGAATGTCACTCCACCACTTTGCTACAATAATGTTTCCATGTGTTACACAATGTGTTTAAAACATGTCAAAAGCCTTTGAAAATGCATACATTAATAAGTATTGTATACACGCGTGAAGTTTTTTTTTTTTTTTTTGCTGTGCACTATAATTCACTTCACATCATGGGAGCCTTGAGTGAATAAGTACACTTGCACTTCTGTTGAAATGGTGTAAAATTGGAGCTAACTTGCTTCAGAGAATATTGCTAGTTCAACAGTATAGATCTCAATCAACAAACTATATCGTGGCGCCTGTGATACCTTGTGTGAATGACTGTACTGTGGAAAAAAAAACTATATATTCTGCCAAAAGGCAGTGATGGCAGCTGCCCCTATTGAGTGAAAACACACTCTGAATCCCAAAACTATAAATAGACAAGCGCCTGCTCAATATATCACCATAAACCTAACTAAAATATGTTACATAAATGTGTATTGTTATCCCAACACCATTTAACATAAAAGTCCTATATAAGAGAGCATAATAGTCTAAGGATGTGAATGAGAGTCCTATAGGAGGGTGCCACTTTGGTCCAAAGAGATCTTCTCCACCACTTGTGAGTAATGTCAAAAAATTTCCCACTCACTAAAAGGTGTTGACCCTCATAATGGATGGTCAAATATTGCTTAGATGATCAAATGGCATATGGATTCCCATCTGTAAGCTCTCATATGGTGGGTTCTCAGTTTGCAGTTTTTAGAAGTACACTTCACAGTAAAGACAAGTCTATTTGCCCTCGATCCCCTCATGTTTACCATTGTATTGGTATTCTGTCACATGTTCTGTCCCCCTTTGTAATGTACAGCGCTGAGCGAACCATTGGCGCTTTATAAATACTGTATAATAATAATCATTCAAACTAACAAATGTCAGCCTGGGAACTACGTTTTTTATATAAGCTTAAGGTCATGATAGAATTTTGCCTTTATTTTTTTTTTTAATAATTCCAGGCATTGTCATGTTATTCATAGTAACATTGGTCCAGCTTGGCCAATGCCACCGGAAATCACTGAAGTAGACACTGATACTCTGATCTCCACTTGCTTCAAAGTTTTGTGCCAAGGGAATTCTTTTGCATTTTCCAAATGGATGAGGTGGAGAGGCAGTGCACTGGCATCACACTCTCTCCACCTTATCCAAGCAGAAAAACTTTGCTTTGCCTTTTCTGAATGAATGCGTTCTCTGGCACATTTGCTGAGCTGCTGTATTCACAATGCATCAGGCCAGTCACTCAGCACAGGACCTGGAAGCAAGTAGAAATTGCTAAAATAGCTGTGGTTTTCAGTTTCAGCAGTGAATACAGTGATTTTTCAGCTGTCAGGGGAATCAGCCAGGTTTATCATGTACGTGGATACATTGGTCCAAGCTGGGCCAAGGTAACTATATATAACATTCTGGTGCCTGAAATTATACTTTTTTTTTTTTATGTTTACCTTGTGTTTTGTTTTAAGTCTTATAAGCCATGCAAACTTATATTGTGTTACACTTTATTTTCAGAACAGCTTGAATTCTCATAGCATTTTCCTTGTTGTTGCAGGATAATGAAAAGAGAACACCACTCCATGCAGCTGCCTACTTGGGAGATGCAGAAATTATAGAGCTTCTCATTTTATCTGGTATGTTCCATCAATGTATTTTGTAGTACCTGGAGGGCTTCCTTTTTACATATGGATTATATGTTTTGTAAATCTTCTAGGTCATGTTCACACTTTGGTGGTTTCTTGCAGTCAAAGGCATGCTTTTAAAACCAGCAAGCTGTGGGGAACCAATCAGATTCAAGTCAGCAGAGATGATTGTCTTAAAAAAAAATAAAAAAAATGCTGCAGTTTGACCTCATTGATGCACACTTTGAGGCTAATGTCAAAAAGGGAAACTTGCATTTGTTCATATGTTTTAATGTGTCTGTAGCCCAAGCTTTTCTTTTTATATCTGGTTAGTGTAGAGAAGGGTTAAAACCCATGTCCATTTATTTTTGTTGTTTTTTTATTGAAAAGATTTTCTGTTTACGTCTTGTGCTAAAGATGCAACAGAAGGTGAGTGAATCACTACAAAGTGAGTAGTATTCCACTTAGACAATTGTCATTGAAAGTTTTCTGCTCATCTCTTGTCCTGGTGACAACCAAAAAAATGTTGCATTTCTCTCTTTCTTGGTCGATAGTCACCAGTACAAATAGGATGAATCTATCTAGGACACAGGCAGCAATTATAAACTTGAAAGGGGTTTTAGTTCTTTTCTAGCCAAAACTAGAAAAATGGTTATGTAAAACCTGTACAGAAGAACTGAGGCTGCAGTCGCTGACCTAATTTTAGACATTCCAGTTCCATGACTGCCATGCTAATCCAAGTGGATTCAGTACCTTGAATCTCTGCAGTAAATATGCAGGTCACAGTAAATGTGACTCCCAGCATGCTGTTCTTAGTGTCTTGAAACCGGTGAAAGCCAGGCATCTAGCATTTTCAAAGAGAATTTGACAGTGGCACCTGCAGATTTCTCTGAGAAACGATTTCCTTAATGTGAATGTAAACACTAAAACGAAAATGCAAAAAGCAAGGCATTGCAGCTTTTAGTCTTTTTTTTTTTTTTTGGCTAATAACATTTAAAGCAGAAACAGAAAATATTGATCTTGCCGTAAATGCAGTGCTTTTATCATTTCTATCATTACAGTTTTTAAACTTTTATCTCTTCCTGAAGTGGACCAAGTGCACATAACACTTGGTCCCATTCAGATCCCGTTGGTGGTTAAACACCTCCTGCTGGCCGTAGCTCCTCCCTACTCTTAAAGAGGAGCTCCAGTCATATTTGTGTTTATTAACTGTTTACTTTTAATAGACACTCACTTGTTCCAGGATCCAGCGATGTGCTCACCCGGGCCGTTCTTTCTTTCAGTGTTCTGTCCCCAGCGCTGGTGCCATTTTGCAAAGAGGAGGGTGAAGGAGGCCTTAAAGCAGGACTCCACTCCGCTATAAGTCCAAATTATGGCTGTTCCTGTAGGCAGAGGTACAGCCAGCACTAAGCCTCCGGCCATTTCTAAGCTGACTATCCTTTAATTGTGAAGGAAAAATACACGCTGCCTAACAGTGCTGATTGTTCTCATTCAGCTATATACACAGTCCCAGGGGATGAATCGTGTAGCTCTGCAGTGCTGTGTAATCTTTCATGTTGATGAATGATTGATGAGCGCTGCCGGGACTGATTCTGTGTATGATATAGTCCTGCATTGCTGGTTGTGCAGTAAAAGTGACTCTGCTGCAGGACTGTGTGAGCCATCTGCCAGGGCTGTGTATGTTTACACTCAGCCGCAAATACACAGAGTGCTCTGCAGGCAGTGCAATCTTTTGTGAATGGCAGCACTGGTCTCCAGGGTGGCTCCTGCTGCCAAAGATCAGCGCTGTTACAAATTTGACTCCTTCCAAGCAGTGTTGTTGGACAGCAGGCGGAAAACTGTCTGGCCATGCTTAGCAACAGCAGAACTGTTCCCAACAAAGCCAAATGCTACATGCACTTTATCTCCCAAAGAGTTAAATAAAAGTTTAAAAAGTCTGGTGAAAATTCTTCTTTAAAGAAAATCACAAAGAACCTTATCTTTTTTTAACTTTAAAACTACTGTCTCCGCAATCTACCATGTAATGCAAATGAACAAAGGCTCACATGTTTGACATCCAGCCTTTGTGAGAATAATGGCTGCCCCCCAAAGACACAAAAGAGAAGGTGTAGACAATAAATCCTAACTTAAGGGAAAACATCCTCCCTTGGAGTGAAGTTTCTCCCTCACTGCAAGGGTTACATGCTTGTTTGTGGTTCAGAGAAAAGCAGTTGTCTTTGTCGTACAGTACAGGGCACAGGTCTTCATATTCATAATGGTTGAGTTATATGCCTTCAGATGATGGTAAACTATCAAAGCTTGAACGCTAACACACAACTCCTCTTACCATGCAAGCCTCAGTTTTGTGCTGGTGTCCTTAGGTGATAGATGTATCTCTCTGAGGATAGACTTCTGAGTAGTTCATTTAGTGTTTAGAGATCTTTCATCAAGAAAAGACGGTAGTTACTCATAGCCACTGTGACACAGGATTTGAGCTTTCCGTTTCGTTGCCTCCAGACTTAGTGCTTTGGGAACTGTACCCAGACGCTGCACGAAGAAGGGAGCTGCAAGGAGCTTTAGTGCTGCAACTGAGGTGAATCAGGTGCCGATCCACTAAATACTGTTAGGATAGCAGGAGGATAGCAGGCTTGGGTCCTTTTCAAAAGTGGCCATGTCTTCATCTTGGCACTTCAATGCTCTGGTGATGGCTCTAAGAAAGCACAGGGTTTGCATTATTTTGGAACTTCCCTGTCCCTGCACCTTACTGCGAGGGTGCAACTTCCATTTTGCACTAAAGGGTACATGTGTAGGTACCATTTTGTGTGTCGTCTGTTAACAGGGCAGCCATGTACAGCAGCCTTTATCAGTCTCATTTACCACAGTAGGCTACTTTTTGGAATGACCGGTGGTGCCTTTTTAGCATGACTGTATTTTCAGAGGAGTGGGCAGGGTGTAAGAGGTTTTGAACCCTTGGTTTGTGAACTCACCACATGGGCTGAAGCAATGTTGGAACCAAGGCATAGCAGGGACGGTAAAGGCAGCATGACTGAGGTGCAGTCACTGCCTGCCTTCCCAGGCATTGTTCTAAACCGTACAGTACAGGACACAGGCTCAATATTCCATAGACCCTGGGTTAAAGGCTGTTACCTTCAGGTGAATAGACACTGGCAAAGCTTTGCTGGTCTGGCACAAGGGGTGTAGCCATTTAACCCTATCCCAGTCCATAAAAACTAGTGTCCTTAAGTGATTTATCTCTTCTCTCTTATGAAGAAATAATTTATGCAAATCCTCACTGTCTTTTAATTCACCAGAAGTACAACCTCAGTAATGTTGCTTCAGGCACTGGATCCTACTTAGGTGTTCACCTTTATGCTCAGTTGACCGCATGTAGTTAGCTGCAGAGTGCTATGACGGCCAGGCCATGGTTCATCCCTATGGAACACAGACCTTGAAGATCCCTCCAGGGCTATGTCCATCATGACAGCCGAAGCCTGGACCCTGATTAGCGACATGGACAGATAAGGCAGGTTTACCTAGCACTGGACCGATGGAAGCCTCCTTTTATTCCAGGCTTCCTGAACAGTACAAAAGGAAATCGAGAACTGTGCTTGAAAAATGTTCATGGAGTGGTAAACTTTTAAAATCATGGCGGTAAAAATTCCACCATTCAGAGCTTGGTTTCAGGTGGATGACTAGGTGTTGCACTGCAGCACAGGTCACCCTTTTACCACCACTTCCATCTGGAACTCTTTAAAAGGTACTTGCACACTTCATATCACCCTTTTGCCACAAGGACTTCACTACAGGAAGATCAACACCAAGGTTACTGTGTACTCCTTCATGGAAATCCTTACCCCTTTTCCACACCTTCTCCATGAGTATCCCACAGGGGAATAACCTCCCTGATGGCAAAGATGGAAACCAGGTGAAAGAAAACCACAGCAATATTTCAGACAAACATTCACTCTGCCAAAGAACAGCAAAACAAACTGCTCAAACTGACAGTGTTGTGCTGTTTTAGGACCCCATTTTAACATCGATCTCTGAATTTGACTAGGGCATAAAATGCATGAAATTTGGTACACTTGTTGGCGCACGGATACATCAGAATATTGAAGAGCGTGTAGGATAGTGAATGGGGATGGCTGTACGGCAACGTTTAAGAAACGTCACTGGTCTGGAGAGCTGGTATATGTTTCAGCATCAAACAGAACAAATAGTCACAGTGCCATAGCAGCAGGCTCTATGTAGATTGTTGGTACTAATACAGTAGCAGTAAAGGGGTTCATCTTCATCCATGTCAATGGAAAAAAGCAAGTGGAACCTATTTAAGCTTTAGTGATGGAGAAAGTTCATAATGAAGCAGACAGGCTTAATAAAGGCAGCTGCCAGTGGTGGATTGGAAGCCCTGGAGGTGAACGGTCCTGAACTCCAGATGTAGCTTCTTCTCAGGTACACAAGAGTTGGCCTATCTGTCCTGGATAGATTTTTCTGCAACAATGTTATACTTTCTTGGACACCTTACAGCTTTAATACAGCTTTCACTATCCAAAATGCACAAGCACCAAGCTACTGCTCCATACTTTTTTTTTTCCTTCTGCCTGACTTAAAGGAAATGCCTCCTCTTGAGGTGGGGAATAAAGAGGACTGAGAGTCAATTAGAGGAGACTGTGGAAGATTTCTAAATCCTAGCTTCTTGTACAGCTGATGGTATGGCCCCATGCAGTGTGCTTGCCTATGTAGATTTCTTCACTTATGCTGTGTACAAAAGTGTTGCACCTGGATTCTCTGTCTTGCCATAGGTACTAAAAAGTTTGCTAGGTCTAAAAAGATATTCCCTATTCACATATCTTATTCAAATAGAACTGGTAAATTTATGATGATTGGGTTAAAGTATAACTAAAAGCAAAACTTTGGTTAGAGTGGTGAGGGATTAGAATGCCTGTGCCCCCGTTTGGGTAATTAGCCCTCTCTTTGTCCTGCTTACCATTATCATTGAAAGTGAAAGTAAACTAAAATCCCAAATTTTGGGC